ACTCACGGCTAAAGCCATCAGACACGGTGTTTAGGGGAGGACAGATGCCTAGCTTACCCAGAAAGTGCATTAGACAGAGCCGTGCTAGGACATGCCAAAGTGGCTGCGGCAGGGCCTTGGAGCAATAAGCATGAAAGAAGATTGGTTTGGCGGACGCTGCCCTCTGGAGCAGGGTTTAAAATGGGTAGGCAGCGGTGGGGGGGGACCTGCACTTACAGTTACACCTCCATCTCTCCTCCAAAATATGCAACTCACGAAAGGAAAGAGTGTGAAAAGCCAGCGAGGAAGCTGCACTTTGTCCAGGCCGAATAATGACTGACCGCAGACTGGCTACCGGAGTGGATTCCATGAATAGAGGCTCCTGGGAGACAGTGAGTGGACTGAAGTAGAAGTTAAATAATGAGAACATGAGACAGGAATATGATTCATGCTGTAGCTACAAATCAGATAGCAGCTGAGTCTTTTTATACGTGTTTTGATATGTATACCAATCAGGCATAATGTTATGACCACCTTCTTATTTCTACGCTCATTGTCCATTTTATCAGCAATTACAGTTACAGACTGTAGTCCATCTGTTTCTCTGCTTTGTTAGCCCCCCATTTACCCTGTTCTTCAGTGGTCAGGACCCCCATGGACCCTCACAGAGCAGGTATTATTTGGGTGGTGGATCATTCTCAGCACTGCAGTAACACTGACGTGGTGGTGGTGTGTTAGTGTGTGTTGTGCTGGTCTGAGTGGATCAGACACAGCAGTGCTGCTGGAGTTTTTAAACACCTCAGTGTCGCTGCTGGACTGAGAATAGTCCACCAACCAAAAATATCCAGCCATCAGCGTCCTGTGGGCAGCGTCCTGTGACCACTGATGAAGGACTAGAGGATGACCAACACAAACTGTGCAGCAGCAGATGAGCTATCGTCTCTGACTTTACATCTACAAGGTGGACTGACAAGGTAGCAGTGTCTAATAGAGTGGACAGTGAGTGGACACAGTGTTTAAAAACTCCAGCAGCACTGCTGTGTCTGATCCACTTGTACCAGCACAACACACAGTAACATACCACCACCACGTCAGTGTTACTGCAGTGCTGAGAATGATCCACCACCCAAATAGTACCTGCTCTGTGAGGGTCCATGGGGGTCCTGACCACTGAAGAACAGGGTAAAAGGGGGCTAACAAAGTATGCAGAGAAACAGATGGACTACAGTCTGTAACTGTAGAACTACAAAGTGCACCTATATAGTAAGTGGAGCTGATAAAATGGACAATGAGCGTAGAAACAAGGAGGTGGTCATAATGTTATGCCTGATTTGTGTATATTGCTGTCTAAAAAATGATGAATGGATCAATAGAAATGCTCCAGAATTGCTTGGAATAAAATCTTTTTACATTAACTTACATTAAAAGTAATTAACATTTTTGCCTTCTTTTTGTTGGACAGCAATTATATGTCAAAATTTTTTCATAAAAAATTAGGGCAATATTTTTTTTGCGGATTAAATAAGAGATGCTATGTTACAATTTTAACTGTAAAGAGAAATTGCTTGACTCTCTTCAAACATATTCTGTATACTTGCCTGACCACTTCACATTTCTCCCATTATATTAAAAACATGACTTTTAAATTATAGAGGGTGCCCTCCAGAGAGTCCTCACTGAATGGAGGTGATGGAAGCTAAATGGCTTAAAAAAGGAAGATTAAACATATTTCTAGCCAATAATCCCAAAAAAAACATCTTTTAATTTTGGAAAGTAGAAGAATTCCATTAAAAAGTCAAGCAATACTGACAAATATTTTTTTTTCTGTTTTTCTACAGCAAACAGACATAAGATGTTAGCATTCCTGATACTGAGTAGATCATTTTAATTATATGATTCTAATTCTGATTCCCATTCAATTTTTCTAATTCTAATTCTGATTCTTAGTATATGAATCCAATTCTGAAACCAGGTGTAGTTTTAATTCTGATTCTAATTCTATGATTCTAATTCGGATTCAGCTTCAATTTGTAATTCAGATTCTAATTCTGATTCTGAGCCTAAGAGTCTAATTCTCATTCAGATTCAAATTCTAATTCTGATTCTAATTCTAGGATTCTAATTCAGATTCAGTTTCAATTTGTAATTCAGATTCTGATTCTGAGCCTAAGAATCTAATTCTCATTCAGATTCTAATTCTGATTCTAATTCTATGATTTTAAACCTGATTCCAATTGTAATTTTGATTCTGATTCTACTCTTAGGATTCTTATTCTGAGTCTAAGATTCTAATTCTGATTGAGATTCAAATTTCAATTCAGATTCTAATTCTATGATTCCGATTCTGATTCCAATTGTAATTTGAATTCTGATTCTAATTCTGATTCCAGTTGTAATTTTGATTCGGATTCTGATTCCATTAAAAAGTCAAGCAATACTTACCAATTTTTTGTCCGTTTTTCTACAGCAAACAGACATAAGATGTTAGCATTCCTGATACTGAGTAGCTCATTGCAGCTCATTGGCTGCCTTCCTCGCTAGGAATTCAGTGGTAACATCACTGTAATGTACGACTTCTCATGATGAATTTATTTTATTGTACATTTGTAATTCATCCGTTGTGGTTCCGTGGCCTTTACTCCTGACACAGTGCCAACTTTCTTTAAAGCTCCATCTTGCAGCAACCAGTTTCTTCTCTTGTGGTAAAATAGCCATATCGCCCCCTAGTTTTCCTGTAGTGTAATGCAATCCACCAGAATGACCATGTATAAGATATGAGCACTAAAGAGCATCATAGCATGGTTTTCTTTTTAAATGAACAAAGTGCTGATGTCATCTTTCTCCCATAATGGACTTCATTGACTACTAATTGACTTTGTTGACTAATAATAAAGTTATGACCCTAGAATAAGTCGTCTAAGTGGCATAGCCTATCAGGACGGAGCCCACAGCAGCCTGCACTCTATGAACAGGCTTGAGGTTGCAGGCAGTGTTGATCCTGGCTCTCTAGGACAGGAAGCCCTGTTCAGGGTCTTTTTTTGTCCCAGCGGTGGCCCCCGCTGGCCTGTCTGGAGAGGGTGCTTTGTTCAAAGGGAACCCAGCGCTAATTAGAGCCTAAGACTGGCTCAGCCCTCCTCATCAGAAAGACACTTCGTCTGCGCCTGCTGAAAAAGGGAGTAATGCCCTGGATTTACTTGGGTGTACGTTGTTTTATTCATGTAGAAATATAATATATAATATGTGTGTAAGGATGTAGTTGAAGCAGTTCTGTTTTTTTTTTTTTGCCGTAGAGGAGGATGTGATTAGCGCGTGCTGTGCTTTTTTACTGCATTTCTCCGTGTACTCAAGGGAAAACACTCTGCCTGCCGTCCTTTGTGCGCTGCTGATTCCACACAGACAGATTAAGAGGCAAAGTGGTGCAATTATTCTGCACAGAACGAACACTTCCCCCAAAACGCAAGCACATACACACACAGAGGAATCAAGAATTGATCCTTATTATCCTTTTAGATGGGTCGAGCTGCCACAGGTTCTGTCTTTTCATTACGCAGCAAAAGATGCTGTTTTTCAGTTTCTCCAGACTGAAGAGGTTCTGCAGTGGTCACATGTTTCCTGACCTTGTTATCCTTTTCCTCTGAGGACGCCCTGTTTATTGATTTGTGAGTCGAATAGAAGAATGTACCTGTAATGGTACTGGATTGTCCTGCTGTTGTGTGTGGCAGCAGTGCAGTGCAGTGCAGTGCAGTAGTGGCTCAGGCTTCTAGAAGCTTCTGGCACAGTGATTCATTGATTCATTAATTTCCCACTGCTACACAGCTCCTGCCTCCATTCACAAAGAGCTGCATCTCCCATTATTAATGCTATTACAAGCTCACACACACACACACACACACACACACACATACTGCACTGCTCTCTGCTCCACTACCTCACACACACACATCCCACCCCTCACATTTACTCACACACAGCCCCTCAAGCACACAGACACACATATACACACACACATACACACACACCCCACACTCCCTCCTGTGATTTCTATATGCCAGCAGGCAGTTTTCCAAAATCATACATTAATAAACAGTATATGCTTTAAATTGTTAGTGTTAAAAAAGTGTCACCCAATCAGGACACAGCATTTATAACTGAAGACAAATTCCTTGTATGCACAAACAGACATGACCAATTCATTCTGTGATTCTAAGTCTATGATTTCTGATTTCAATTGTATGCTTCTGTTTCTGATTCCAGTTGTGATTCTATGATTCTAATTCTGATTCCCATTCAATTATTATAATTCTAATTCTGATTCTAATTATATGATTCTAATTGTGATTCTAATTCTAATTCTGATTCTTATTATATGATTCCAATTCTAATACTAGGTATAATTTTGTTTTGGATTCTAATTCTGATTCAGTTTCAAATTCTAATTCTAATTCTAAATCAGATTCTAATTCTATGATTCCGATACTGACTCCAACTGTAATTTTGATTCTGATTCTAGTTCTATGATTCTAATTCTGATTCCAGTGGTAATTTTGATTTGGATTCTGATTCTAATTCTGGTTCTAGATTGTCCTAGATTGTTGATTCCCCATTGCTACACACACACACGCACACACACACACACACACTGCACTGCTCTCTGATCCACTCTTTCACACACATGCACACATCTCACCCCTCACATTTACTCACACACAGCCTTTCAAGCACACACACCCCGCCACTCCCTCCCCTGTTGTGTGCGTGTGTGTGTGTGTGTGTGTGTGTGTGTGTGTGTGTGTGTGTGTGTGTGTGTGTGTGTGGGGCTCTCAGCAATGGCGTTTGTGCCGGCTGCCTCTGAACGGTGACTGTATTCATTCATATCACGTGACTGATAGGAGACATTGAGGACAACTCGCACTCACCTGCCCTATTTCTCTCTCTCTCCCCCTCTCTTCCTCTCTCTCTCTCTCTCTCCCTCTCTCCCTCTCTCTCTCTCTCTCTCTCTCTCTCCCTCCCTCTCTCTCTAGGTCCAACTGGTTTTCCCGTCTCTCCTCTGTGCTGTACTGAAACGGAGCATCCTGCTCACAGCTCTCAGCAGGTAGGCATTCCCATCCCTCTCTCTCCCTCTCTCTCTCTCTCTCTTCACTTATACATTTCTTACATACATTTCTCCCCTTCTATCCAGTGTCTGTCCATCTCTCTCTCCCTTCCTCTCTCTCTCTCTCTCTCTCTCTCTCTCTCTGCAGAGATGCTGCGTCATTGTGTGTGAATGCTGTGGCATTTAGAGAGTGCGAGACTCTGTCAGAGCGATTCCTCTCTCTCTCTCTCTTTTTTTATTCTCTCACTCTCTCTTTTTTACTCTCTCTTTTCTGCTCTTTTTTATTCTCTCGCTTTGTCTCTTTGTATGTTCTTCTTTTTCCCCTCTCTCTTCCTTATCTTCCAATCATTTTTATTCTCTCTCTCCTTTCTCCTCTCTCTCTCTGTCTCTGTCTCTCTCTCTCTGTCTCTGTCTCTCTGTGTCTGATTGATTGTCAGTGCTGTGTTAATGATTTATACGGTGTGGGTGTGTATCTGTGTACGTATCTGTTGTTTATTTAATGAGAACCTGTAGCTGGTGTTACTATTTTCAACAAGCGTGTGCAGTGATGATATGAGGTGTGGATGTGGAGATATTGCAGTTGTCAGACTGACGTGATTGTGTCTAGACCACCACCTCGGACGCCTCTGTTGGCTCACCACGGTAACCACAAGTGACTGTACTTAAGTATCATATTGTAAGATTTGTAATTGACTCAATTTTTATTGAAATATTATACTTGTAGTAGAAGAAAACCTACTTTTTACTTTTTTTCATTTAAACCTTTAAAGGCCTTGAGATTTTTCTCCTTTTCTCTCACCATTCAAGCATTTCTGCACATTTCGTTTGATATGTGTGGACTATTATCTCCCATAAGCCCCTGCATCACAAACCACCAAAACAAGAGGACTTATTTTTTTTTTTTTTTACTTTTATATACTTGCATGCTTAATTATAGATACTTTTTCACTTTCACTCAAGTAAATCTTTTATTCTATACCCATACTATCACTTACAGGGGAATTCCACCAAATTTTCAAAATTTCTACATAATGTTTTTGTTCAGTTGGTAACAAACTCATTCAGAGTGGTTTGGCGTGAAATGCTCTGAAACTTACTGAGTCAGAGTTGTTCACAGTGGTGGTGATAGGAACCAGACGTCCACCTCTACAAGCTCCCTCACAGAGAGTTATTAGATGACACCGCCTGATGTTTGAGGTTTTGTTTTATGATACTTTTGTACGGAGCCCCGCAGGTGATATCCTGTGTAAATAAAAATAATGCGTGGCCACAATTTAGTAAGGCATGGGAACAACATAATTAAGTCATGGCCATGACTTAGTCATGATAGTCATGGCTATGACTTAGTAAGGCATGGAATCAAGATCCTAATGCGTGGCAATGACTTAGTAAGGCATGATCCAGTTCCCACGCCTTACTAAGTGGTGGCTACGCATTAGAATCTTGTTCCCACACGTTAATAAGGCCACTCATTATTTTTATTAATATGGGATGTCACCAGCAGGGCTCCGTAGTTTTGAGATTGCCTACAATATATATGTTTTTATCTATACCAGGTGGTGAGATACAGGCAGGGCATTATATGTTTAAATACTCTCCAAAGAAAACCTATTTTTTCAGATTTATCACTATTTTACCATCATCAACATTATATATAGATAGAAGACTTGTCTAGGGTCACTGCTGGTTTTGGATAGTAAATAAAACGGCTGTATTTGTGTTGTAGTTATGGTGACCCCTGAGTCTCTACAACCAACCATTTCATCAAACCACTCTGAATGACATTGTTTACATCTGAACCACTGAATTATACTGACATTTGTAAAACATTCAGGTGGTGTTTCTCCTAAACATTCATCTGAAGTGAGTTTTATGTAATACAGATGTGTGAGAGAGAGATGGAGGGAGTGTCTCTTTTCTCTATTTTTCCTTCTCTTTCTCTGCCTGCCTTTCCCTTCTCTTCTCTATTCGTTCCTCCCTCTCAAAGCTGATGTGTATATTTTAGGTTTGTCCCAGTTACGATTTTGTTACGATGTAACAGTGAATATCTGCTGAAGTGCAGAGCTGATTTAATATTTGTAATTTGGAGATAAAATAGCTGCACAGTGCTCACTTAATTACATTAAAGCCAGATAAGATACCTTTAACTGGCATTTTAAAATGCTGCAGTTGGCTGAAAATCATGTAGTGTTCAGTAGAGGTATGTAGGGTCATATCCTGAACTGAAATGTTTTGTTTTGTTTTCTTTTTTATGGTGTTTTCAGGGTGCCACTTTAATATTTAAAATAGCTCTAACATGTGCAAAGTATCTGCTCTTTTCTCTCAGCGCTGTTGCTCTACATTACCATATACCGTGTAGTAGCTGTGCACTCATATTTTGCATCTGGCTGGTTTGATTGTGTTTTGCTGACAGTTGAGACCAGCGTAACCTCAGAAGTACCAGCATTGCTAATATCACAGGCAGCTGTTTTCATTTTATATTTATATACAGTTCCACAGATAACTTTTAAAATATGCCTCAGTGCTTCTTGTTGTGGATAAGATCTGTTTATGTCCCCTCCATTCAGTTAAATGGAGTAAAATAGGATCAGATTTGGATCAGTCCTAATATCACAATGTATTATATACATTTCCGTTCAAATATCAGTGTTTTCAGCAACATAAAACGAATTTGGTTGCAGACAAACGTGTATAATTAATTTAATATGCTAGTGCTGTTCAACTTTACAGGTTTCATATAACAACTAGGGCACCCAAAAGCTGTTTATTTACATTTTTTTGGTGTCCTAGTTGTTATATGAAATTAATTATTTCCAGAATGATAAGCAGAGCTATGAAAATGTTCAGAATGACAAAAACTATGATAAATTTAATATTTTTTTAAAAGCAAAAAGCCTACAAAAAAGAAATGGACAGTATATTATAATTTAATAGCTATTACAATATAAATATTGAATACACATATAAAAATTGAATAGTTTGTGATATTGAAATCCACACTCTGTAGGTTATTACTGTGTATAAAATAACAAAAATGTTAATGACAAGTGATTCTGAACATTTCAGCCACTTGAGGCTGTGCGTTACTGTGATTTTCTCACAAGAAGGGTGTTCTTACTAAAACTCCCTTCCCTGTGATAAAATCACTGTAACGCACCGCCTCAAGTGGCTTAATGCTTTTCTAAAATGGTGGCCAACAGAATATATGATAAAATGCACATTTTGTCAGAAATTTAAAAGTTATTATTAATAATGATCTACATAAAGAAGTATTCCACCAAGAAATGTAGTTCCTTCAGAGTACGGTATTGTTGCCAAGCAACCATGGACCGCTGAATGAGGAGAACGTTCGGTTGCTCATCGCTGTATATTGCGGTCATTTCATGAATTAACATTGTGTCGTACAACAATGAACATTTGATATCTCAGCACTGTTTTATGCAAAAACTTTATAGGTACTATCTGGTCACCTTATTTAACAGTAATCCAGCAGCGCCCTCAAATGGCTCCCTGCTCCCTACGTTTGGGATTCAGCCACATCCACACTCGATAAATGATGCACTGTTTGGCTGTAGAGACTAGAATTTCTAAACATCCATAGCTAGCACACTATTTAGAGAATTCTGACTAAAACACAGACTTTTGAGGTGTGTAAATCATTCAAGTGACATTTTTTAGACTTTTATACTGCAGTTTTACAGTAAATCATACTGTAAGTGCTTTAATTCAAGCCTGTGATATTAATGATGGAGTTGTTTAGGCTGTTGGCTCTTTTAGCCTGTTAGCTAGCTGACCAGGCCAGTTCTATTTAAGAACATAAGTTACCAGCCCCTCAGTTTAAACTAAAAACGGGTTCTTACTTCAGCATCAGAGTCAAAGATTATTCCATTAATAGCACAAGGGCTTTTTCGTGCCGTGGCGCAGTAATACAGAATTCAGGTGTTGTAAAGCGGTCATAAGTTTGCGGATATCGTGGATTTTACGACAGCTTCATACGCAGCTCGACCAATCAGATTTTAGAACTGGAACTATCCGTTTCATAATATACTCTATGTTACTGATTAATCTACTGTTCTGACTATTAAATAATGGCATAAGAAACTAGAATCTGAAAAGTGATTTAAAATAGATTACAATAGAAGCCAAATTGATTGCTTTATATAGTGTAAAGTGCATGCCTTTGTGTGTATGTGTGCATATATATATATATATATATATATATATATATATATATGCACACATATATTCAAATTTTAACATACAGAGAACATTGTGGAGCGTTTTCAAATAAATTATAATCAGTTTTGCTCCATAATGCCAAAGTCTGGGGTGAGCTGGTCCTGTTCCAGCATCTTACTCTTTCATCTCCCTGGCCAAAGTGTCACATTAAAGCCGAATTTGCGGCGCCGTGTGTGACTCGGCCCCACGGTGCTGTAATCAGGGACAGGTGGAGGTGGGAGCAGACCGAGTGAACCCAGCTCTGCTCCAGCCGCGCACAAATCGCAGCTTCATTAGAGCAGCAGCTAACAACTCAGCTACTGACTCCACGGCAAATTAGAGCCTTACGCCCCTGCGGTTCAGAGCGCCGCACACGGAGACGCTGTGTGTCTTCGCTCTGTCTGTGTGGGTCTTTCTCAGTTCCTTGGTCTATTTTTCATCCACATTTTTTGCTTGTTGATTCAAAACAGTAAACAGACAAATGACCCCAGAAGCCCAGCGCAAAATGCCAGCCGATTGGTGACATTTTTCATGCCGTCTCTGTTCACACTGGCCATTATTGTGCTTAGTCTCTGCTGTATATTGACTCAGCACAGCTTAGCAGAGATGCGAGGCACTGAGCGAGCGAGATGGGACAGTTTAGAGTGAGCAGTACTGTGTGTGTGTGTGTGTGTGTGTGTGTGCGTGCGTGTTGTGGTCGCCACTGCAGCAGGGAAGCAATGATGTAATGCAGAAAACAGGACCCAACACCCCCCCCCCCAGACAGACACAGAGCCAGACAG